AGAAGAGTTAAAATTGTGATAATTTCCTGGAGAGTGTAACGTAATTGGAGATAAGGCTTGAAGTGAAGAATTAGGAGGCAAAATAGGAGAAAGGTTTTCAGCATTAACAGGAGATAATAATTGTGCACATCGTTGAAAACTCCTATGCTGAAAAATAGGAGATAAAGGAGAATGAATACCAATTGAAGAGGAAAATTTAAAAAGGGCACAAGAGTTAGGTTCAGATAACGTTGAGGGGAGAAGATAAGGATAAGGAAAGAAATCCTCATTGAACCTAACATGTCTAGAGATAAATACTTTGTTACTAGAAGGATCAAAACATCTATATCCCTTGTAGTTAGAGGGATAGCCAAGAAAGATACAATGGGTTGAACAAGGACTCAACTTGTTAGAGAAATAATCACGTAAATTGGGATAACAAGAACAACCGAAAACACGTAGATGATAGTAGATAGCAGCCTTGCCAAAAAGAGCTTCATATGGTGTCTTAAAGTGAAGCTTAGACGAAGGAAGCATATTTAAAAGATGGACAACAGTATGCAAAGCTTCGACCCAAAATTGAGAGGGAAGAGAAGCTTGAAATAATAATGAATGAACCATATTTAATATCGTACGATGCATCTGTTCAACTTTGCTATTTTGTTGGTGAGTGTGAGGGTATGAAATGCGAGGCAAGACACCATTATCATCAAGAAACGAACGAAAAACTTGAAGTTTAACAAATTCAGCAGCCCATCACATTGAAAAGACTTTAATTTTGTAAAGAATTGGGTCAATACATAGGCATAAAAATGCTTAAAGGTGGTGAAGCATCAGATTTACGCTTAAGAGGAAATACCCAAGAGAACTTTGTGAAATTATCATGAAATAAAATATAATAGCAAAAATCAGTAAAAGAGGAAATAGGGGAAGTTCAAATATCACTATGAATTAACTCGAACGGAGATGAAGAAAAAGAACTAGAATCCATAGATGGTAACTTCTGGTGCTTGCCAAGTTGACAAGCATTACATAAATACTCTAAACATTTGAATGAAGAACAAGGTAACTTATTGACCCTAATTAAACTAGCTAAAACAACAGAGCTTGGATGTCCTATACGGCGATGCCAAAGGTTTGGAGAGACACGAGCAGCAGCAAGACCAGAGTGAGAAGCTGCAGCATAATCACCAAAATGAGAAGAAATTGAATAAAGTGGTCCACGACTATTGCAGCGAAGGAGATGCCTCTTCGTTATGAGTTCCTTAATCGAAAAACCAAAAGGATCAAATTCCATGGAACAATTACTATCCGTAGTAAATTTTTGAATACTTAGTAAATTGGTGGAAAGATGAGGAACAATTAAAATATCTCAAAGCGAAAAGCGAGAATTAGAATTAGAGAGAGTACCATGTCCAGTATAGGAGATAGGAAGTTGAGTTCCATTACCCACAACTACACAATCCGAGCCATTGTATGGAGTAACTGAGGATAAATTGGATGCATTTGGAGTCATGTGTGAAGTTGATCCAGTATCCACAAACCAAGAGGCATCACCAAGTGAAGAAAATGAGTAGTTGGAACTAATGTCTAACACAAAGACCTTAGAATTTAGAGATGGACAATCGCGAGCAGTGTGGTGTGGCTGATAGCATAGTTGGAAATAAAGATTCACATTATTAGGTTGGGAGGGAATGAAAGCAGTAGGAAAAGAAATTGGAGGAGGACCTAGAATGGAAGGAAGACGTGGACAAGGAGTGAACTGTTGAGACCCAACATTAAAGGATTTGGTATTCCCTTGAGTGTGGCGACCTCGACCACGTCCACCATTGGAATAATGCCCACCATTGTTATTATGACCACGTCCACGACCATAAGAGGAAGAAGATTTTTGCTTAGCCACAAAAGCAGTGGTGGAATTATCTGTAGAAGAACTAGAGAGACTAGTTAATTGGGCTTCATGAAGAAAAAGTAGAGAACGCGCTTCAACAAAGGTAGGAAGAGGAACACGAGTAGAGATAGAGGTGCTCACATACATATATTCTGGAGTTAATCCAAAAAGTATTTGTAGAACAAGATCAGATTCAGAGATTGGATTGCCTATGGATGTCAATGCATCTGCAATGGACTTGAGACGATGGACACATTCATTAATTAAAAGATTACCTTTCTTAAGGTTGTGAAACTGGACTTTCAGTTGAAGTGTCCGAGAACTGACTTGATCACGGAATAAATGCTCGATTTGAAGCCATACGTCTCTAGAAGTGAGAGAATAATTTGGCTTGATAATAGCTTGAAGAATTTCTTGAGAAATATTTGCTTGAATCCATGAAATAATAATGGAGTCAAGTTGAATCCATTGTTGAAAGGAAGGATTCGGGATAGAGGTACCATCATCATGAAGAATAGTAGGAGCAGGACAGGGAAAACTTTCATCAATAAAACCATTAAAACCATGACCTTTGAATACCGGTAAGAAAAGCTCTCTCCATAACATATAGTTTGTAAAGTCAAGAACAGTAGGAATAAGATTTTTAATGTTGGAGATGAAAATAGCAGAGGGAGAGGATAGAAGAAAGGAGGAAGTGTTAGTCATGGAGGCCGGGGATGTAGGAACTGATTCAGTAGAGGAGTTGGGAGCCATGATTCAACAGAGGAGAAAAACAAAACCTAGACTTCTGATACCATGAAACAAGTAATATTTCTTAATGTATATCATAACAGTACAATGCTATATATAAAGCACATCTACCTGTACAGATAACGTACTGATCTTCTTAAGTATAAAAACTAATTCAAAATAATTTAAGTTACATAGTTATCACTTTGATCTCTCATGGAGCTCAACCGTGAAGATAATTTTAAAGTATAACCACAATTTGAGAGGTAAATTCTGATTATGTTTTTGAAGAATTTGGACACTTGAAATTTATTCATTTCAAGTGAAGCTCTATTAATGGCAAAACTAAATAGGAAGCAATTCGCTAAAGGAATAATGTCAAACACATATATTTTATAAAGTACAAGTTGGGGGTTGTTTGGCATGGTGTATAAGAATAGTGTTGAATATAGTATATTAGTTATGTTGGGAATAGTTACGTCGAGATTATTTCTTATCAACTATTTAGTTTTGTGTATTAAAAAATAATATGCATTGTATATTTCTATAAGAAAAATGATTTCTATGAAAAAATACCTTCGACGGTTTGAAAAGGATTTGAATTTTTTTCTGAAAGGGTAGTTCTGTCTTTATATATGCTTATCTATATATTAAAAATTATGATATTATTAATATCATGGTTTGCTATGTATAAGAATTGTATTGAATAGGGTATAAAACTAAGACAAGTATTAATTGTATATAGGTTGAAAAAAATAAAATATTAGTAATACCAAAGCTAATAAGATTTTTTATTAGATAGTATTTTTTCGCTCCTGCTTCTCTCTAGGCGCTGGTTAGCCTAACGTGCGCCCTGGAGGTCCATGGGAAAGGGACGAGGTCGGGGAAGAGGAAGACCTAAGAAAGAGATACAAATTCCTTTTGGGAGTGCAGTGCATATTCAATCCAAAGTGGATGCTTCAACATCCAAACAATCAGCTACCAAAATTCCAATGTAACATTTACCCGCATCAGAACCTTCAACGAGCTCAACAACTGAGAAGCGACAGGTAGTGGAGCCGGTGGAAGAGGACAAAACACCACTACAAGTGAGATCTCAGGCGGAGGGTGGAACGCAACTGAAGATAGCTGAGGATCTGGTGGATAAGTCACCTACTCAAACACAGGGTGTGAAAGTCCCAACACAGAGCAACCCTGAAATTAAAGAGGCAAATAAGGAGATTCCTACAGAGCAAGAGGCAGTTGTGAATAAACCTAAGTGAAACTCGTTGTTTGCTGGAAATAGAACTGCGGAAAATGGTATGACCTTAACCTATTTCCTGCTTCAAAATTTTAATGGAGAAACTATAGTCCAACTAGAAAAAATTGAAGTAGAGAAGGAAACAGAAAAATGGAAGAATGCCCTTATTGTCTATGTGACGGGAGAAACACCAGGGTACTCCCTCATGAATAGGTATATATCCCAGATGTTGAATACCATAGCTATACCAGATCTGTTTCTTCATGAGGAAGGTTATTATATGGCTCGATTTTATGATGTTAAAGATATGAATGAGATTCTATTCTCTGGCCCTTATACTATTCGAAATCGACCAATTATTCTGAAACCATGGACCCCTGCTTTTGATTTTAGCCAAGAGTTCATGACTGAGATACCACTGTGGGTTAAGTTCCCCAAATTACCTATGAGTTTCTAGGGATGAGGTTCCTTGGGAAGAATTGCTAGTGCATTAGGGAAACCTTTGTTTGCGGATGAATGTACAACTAAGCAAACAAGGATCTCATATGCCAGAATGCTAATTGAAGTAAATGTGTCTAAACCACTGCCTGACACAATTACAGTTATGGAGCCAAATGGACAAAAATTTCAGCAGGAGGTGGTATTTGAATGGATGCCCCAATTCTGTCCTCAATGCTTAACTATAGGATACATCTTCTCTAAGAAGATACCTGAACAACAGTTGATGGAGAGGCAAATACAGAACATGAGTAGAGGTAAACAGAAGAAGGTGGTTCAGGAATGGAAGCCTAAAGAGGTACCATCAACTAGCCAAAATATGGATAAACAGCAGCCGGATCATCTTGAGGTAGCTCAGCCTAGAGTATCTATTAATGAAAGCAAACATCAACAATAAGAAGCTAACTCACAAAATCAAGTAGCAACTCCAGATGGAACAGTGAGGAATGCCTCTAAAGGAAAGGAGCAAGTGCCAAGCCCGGAATTGAACTTGATCAACTTTCCATAGTTGAGTGCTGCTATGGCTAGCAAATCTAAAACTGGGAAAGTACTGCCTTTGCAAAGAGAGGACCAGAGAACCAGACAAGCAAAACCTCCTGATTTGGGAGGTAATACAACTTCTCAATGACTTGGATTATGTGGAATATTAGAGGTGTAAATAAAATGTATAAACAGAGAGAGTTAAAGGAATATATAAGGTCAAAAAATATCAAAATACTGGGCCTGTTGGAAACCAGAGTTAAGCAACATAGATGTCCAGAAATAGCTAAGACTATTACTCCCAATTGGGGTATTATTAATAACTACTCCTCTGCTGTCAATGGAAGAATATGGCTTATGTGGGATCAAGGAGATTACAATATAACTGCACTAAAAGTGGAAGCTCAATTAGTACATTGTGAAGTTAGAGATTTCTCTTCTAACTTTCAATGTGTTCTGACTATTGTCTATGGATTCAATATTGTGGAGGAAAGGAGATCTCTATGGAACACTCTTAAAAACATCTCGTGTAATACTAACTGCCCATGGCTAGTGTGTGGGAACTTTAATGCAATATTATCGACTACTGATAGAAAGAGCTGCCATCCTGTGAGTTTTAGTGAAGTAAAGGATTTTTCAAACTGTATCACTGCCATTCTACTAAATAAATTACAATGGAAAGGTGAATATTTCACATGGTCAAATAAGCAACAAGGATCAGAGAGAGTTAGTAGCAAAATTGATAGAGCATTTGGTAATTATGACTGGATGATGTTGTGGGGCCATATTATCTTAGAATATGACCTCCGTAACATTTCAAACCATGCCCCAATATTTTTGACATTGCAGAGTGTGAACCATAACATCAGAGATCCATTCAGATTCTTCAACATATGGAGTGAGCATCCACAATTCTTGGAGCTAATTGATGTCCACCGGAAGAAGCAGCTTGATAGAGATCCTATGCAGAATGTATGGAACAAACTAAAGGCATTGAGGCCAGTCTTTAGACAGCTGAATCAAAAAGAGTTTAAAACAACATCAGTGAAGATTGAGAAGGCAAGAGAAGAACTACAATGTATTCAAGCTGCAATAGTAGCCAGATATGATAGCAGTCTTGTGATTAAAGAAAAAGAAGCTTTGATAAATCTTGAGAAATGGAACCTGCTTGAGGAGAGTATTATAAGGCAAAAGTCTAGAGCCAAATAGATACAATTGGGGGATCCAAATTCTAAGTATTTTACTACAGTTATAAAGGAAAGAAGCCAAAGGAAGCAAATCATGGAACTCAATTCCATGTCAGGTGCTAAGCTGTTGACTGATCCTAAGTAGCTCAGAGATGAAATTGTATCATTCTACAAAGGGTTAATGGGGACCTTTAGTCCCTCACTAAAGGCAGTCAACAAAGTTACAATGAGCAAGGGACCCAAGCTAAGTCATGAACAGCAAATTCTCTTGTGTGCTCCAATTACTGACTAAGAAATAGCTGATGGACTGAGTTCAATTGGAAATGATAAATCTCCAGGGGTGGATGGGTATAATGCCTACTTATTTGAAAAGCCATAGAGTATAGTGGGGCTAGAGATTACAAGGGCGGTAAGAAGATTCTTTGAGTGTGGCAAGATGGATAGAGCTATTAACTGCACTTCTCTCACCTTGATCCCTAAATATGATCATCCTGTTATAGTGAAAGAGTCTAGACCAATTGCTTGTTGTATTGTTCTGTACAAAATCATTTCTAAAGTCCTTGCCTCAAGACTCCAGAAAGTTATTGCATCAATAGTATGTGAAGCACGGGCTGGATTTATTCCAGGCAGGAAGATATCAGATAACATCTTTCTTGCTCAAGAACTGGTGAAATCCTATACAAGGAAGAATATTTTCCCTAGATGCATGATAAAAATAAACCTTCAAAATACCTATGACTCAGTGGAATGGATATTTCTGGAGCAGGTCCTAGATGAGCTTGTATTTCCTAGACAATTCACCATGTGGACCTTAGAATGTGTGAAGACAGTTAACTATTCTATATTGGTTAATGGAGAACCCACAACTCCATTTGATGCAGCTAAATGGCTAAGACAGGGAGACCTAATTTCACCATTTCTCTTTGCCTTAGCCATGGAATACTTAAGTATAAAGCTCAATGAGTTGAAAGGAAATAAAGTGTTCAAGTATCACCCAAAGTGCTCTAAACTAGCAGTGACTCATATATCATTTGCAGATGATCTACTGTTATTCTCTAGAGGAGATGTTGAGTCTGTTTTCATACTAAATAGGTATTTTTTGGACTTCTCTTCTGCTTCAGGACTTCAAGCTAACAAAGAGAAGAGCTCCATTTATTTTGGAGGAGTCACTCAGATCATTCAAGATCAAATCCTACAACTGTTAGGATTTCCAAAAGGAAAGCTCCCCTTTAAATATCTGGGAATCCCCCTGTCCACTAAAAAGATCTCTTTACTTCAGTGGCAACCATTGATCAACAAAATGGTAGCCAGAATCTCATCTTGAACTGTAAAAAAACTCTCATATGCAGGGAGATCTCAGTTAATCCAAACAGTCCTCTTTGGTATTCAAGCATATTGGTCTCAACTGTTTGCTATTCCTTCAAAAGTACCAAATACAATTGAGGCCTATTGTCGAAGCTACTTATGGTCTGGCACAAACACAATCACAAGGAAAGCTTTAATTGATTGGGATAAGGTTTGCACTCCAAAGTCAATGGGTGGCCCAGGCTTGCTAAATATAAGACTATGGAATAAAGCTGCAATAGCTAAGGCAAGTTGGGATATTGAGCATAAGATAGATAGATTTGTGGATCTGGTGGTTATATGCCTACTACATCAAGAACCAGCAATTCAGTCAAATGCCTATCCCTCAACATGTAGGATGGATGGTGAGAAAAATATTTGAAGCAAGAGACCCAATGGCACCGATTCAAGATATCAAAATAGACAGCTTAATCAAGCAGATTTACCTTAAGCTTATTGGTGATAATGAGAGAATAACTTGGAAGACATTGAGAATGGGAAATGATGCTAGACCAAAAGCTCAATTCACAGTGTGGCTGCAGATGCATGGAAAACTAATGACGGTTGATAGACTTGCCTCATGGGGGATAAATGTTGGTCCTATATGCAATCTATGTAACAATCACAACGAAACAAGAAATCATGTATTCATGGAGTATCCTTTCTCTAACAAAGTCTAGGAAGGAGTGTTGAAATGGATGCAGGTTCCTCTCTTCAGAACATCACAATGGGAACTAATGGAGAAATGGATAATTAAAGCATCAAAGGGTAAATCACAAAGAGCTCAAATCTTTAAGTTGACTTATACTGAATGAGTACATACAATGTGGATGGAGATAAATCAGAGAATATTTGAAAGAATAGCAAAGAGTCATAGTCAATTGGTGAGGGAGATTGCATATGTTTGTAATATTCGAGCATCTACTAGAATTAAATAACTGGTTCAGCAACTTAGTATTTAGTTTAGCTCTAGTAGTTAAGTAGTTCTTTGTGTTCTTAGACTAGATAGCAGACTGTGATGTAGTCTAGCTATGGTTCCTTATTGTAAACATTCTGGTAATTAATAAAATCTTTAGTTACCAAAATAAAAAAGGCTATTACATATATTATTTTTTCTAGTATATCCTACCAAACCACTACAAGAAAAGTGCTGATTATATGGAGATTTTCCTAGGGATAATATAAAAATATCCGTAGGTAATTTGATTTTTTGCGGAATTTCCTACCAAAATAAATCCGTTGAAAAATTCTTCGTAGGTAATTATTACCTGCGAATTAAATTATCTCCAGGTAAGTTACCTGGGGATTTTGTATTCCTATGTAACTTACTTGCGGATTTATCAACGAAACATATCAAAAAAATCGCAAAAGTAATTTGACAAAAATTCGTAAACAAAAGGAATTTTCTTGGGAATTTATGTAGGAAGAAATCCGCAGGTAATTCCCTATGAAGATCCTCAAGTAAGTCCGTAAGAAATTTTGAGGTGAACATTTATGGATGAAAGGGATTTTCTTGTGAATATTTATGAAAATATTCCCCAGGAAAATTCCTTTAAAAATCCCAAGTAAAATCCGCATGCAAGATAATCCCCATGTAAATTTTTGCTTGCAGGTAAATTCCCATATAAAATTGACGCGTTTCAAAATATTTTCCCAAAAAATTCGCAAGTAATCTATACATTCTTGAAATATTATTTTTATTTAATCTTGCTTATATTCTTACAATTCAACTGTATTATCATAATCATTCCACACATGTGTTGTGAGTAATAAAGTGACGGCAATCACAGTTATATATGCATAACTTAATTAACCTTAAGAAGTTGATACAATAAACTTAACCATAAAGAGATAATAAATTTCCAGCTAAATCGATGCAAAAATAATTCAGTAAGTAATAAAATTCTCAATACAACATCTGTAATTTTCAAAGACAGTATTCTGACTCAAGCTTGGAGCAAGTAAATCCCTATGCAAGAAAAAAGATAAATCCCAGAGTGACGGAAATCCTTAGTTAAATCACCAACAAAAATATTCTAACTAAACTCGCAATAAAGAAATTCCTAGCTAATTACATAAGAAATTAAATCCTCGGGTATTTCTCCATGGAAAAATTTAGGTGCAATCGCTTCAAGATATTCCTAGGTTATTTCCCAGGTAAATGCGCAGGATGGTAAATAAATCACAGGTAAATCTCTGTTAAAGAATTCCCAAGTAATACCGCAATAGATAATCCCCATGTAATTTTTTCAGGTATATAAGTCCCCACATAAATCCCCATGAAAATATTCGTAGGTGAAATCCAAACAATAAATATAATCTCCAGGTATTTCCCTAGATACATAAATCACCTGGTAATTCCCCAGGAAATATTTCCCATGTAAAACCGTAGAAAAATATCCTCAGGTAATTCCCCAGCAAAACTAAATCCCCAGGTACATCCCCATGAATAATCTGCAGCAAAATTCGCATGACAATTACATGGGGAAGTTTCAGCCGACTCACAAATAATTTTTTTTTGTTCATCTATCTACGAATTTACCTACGGATAGAGGACTTGCCGATTATTTCCCCATGTAATTCCCCAGGCAATACATTTGCGCTTAATGACGCCAAAATTACCTGTGGATTTATCAGGAAAAAATAAATTCGTATGTATGATATTCTACAATTTAAGAATTTTAAATTTCGGCAAGAAAATTCACAGGTAAATCTGGGAATTTTATTCCCACGTAAATATCCCCTAATCCGCCTTTTTTCTTGTAGTGAGACCCTTTATTGTTTTCTCTATTTCAGCTTATGATGTACGGTAATATAACCATTTTTTAGAGTTAATATTTTTTTATTCTAGTTTGCTAAATTTTTAATTATAAAATTAGAGAAGTAATTTATAATGTTGATTACATATAATAAAGTAAATAAAAATTTCTATGTGATTGTACAAACTTTTATATTACATGGTCATGAGCTTCAAAAATGTGTTTATCGTGTACTTATATTGTATAGAAATAATTTTGGACCGAAATATCCTTAACGGGCGGAATACGATTACACATGCGAAAAACTGGCTTGCCACGCCGTCCAGCACGTCGCATGGCACGACGTGGATGACTGGATGTGCAGATTTTCAGAAGCTTGCTCAAATGTGGCCTAATGCATTTTCCTTGAACTGCCACAACGTGTGGCACCTTGGCCGGTATCTTGCCAACTTTCCACATTGTTAGTTTCTTCAATTCAAACGTCTATCTTAACAAGCCACCTTATATATCACATCACTTAGCACGCCGTGATAGATCACATTCTGGCCTTGAGCGTTTTCTTCCACTTTTCGAATACATACTCAATTTTTAATTCCCGAACTCGATTTTGGCTTAACTCTTAAATTTTTACTCAGACTTCAAACTTTATTCAATTTAGCTCCATAAATTTTTGTTAATCCGGATTCTCAACCTACACAACAAATAACACGTAATGAGTATAAATTATTCATATTTTAGCTCAAACACAATTAAAGTATAACAAATAATAAGTGTAATATAACCAAAAATTTATATTTCTAGTCTACCATCAACACCCCACGCTTAGACCATTGCTCGTCCTCAAGCAATACAAACTACACTTCAAATAGGGACGATATTTTCATGCAACTCTCCTAACTTGTCGTGCCAAGAATATTTCAGACAAACTAAGCACCATATTATAACTTCTTAGCCTCAAGACTTGATCAAAAGTACCCATTTTTTGACAGCTCGCTGACTTACTCTAACAGAGGCCAAAGACACTACCTTTCGTTTGCAAGTCATGTGCCATCACACAAACAATAGAGAGTAATTCCACACACAATAAAATTCAAGAATAATTAGGAACCTAAAAATAGAAAGAATTCACTCAATCTCAAAATTAAAATTCATATGCCACAGAATACGTACCATAAGCTTGTCCGTGGTGTAATACTCTACTAAATTGAGCACATTCAATTAAAGATCAAGTAAAATTTTATTTAGTTGTAATGTACACTGCGGGATGGGTAGGATACATTTGGACAGAGTGAATACACCTCCCTAAGCACTTTAATATATATACATTAACAATTCAAACCTCACACTTATGTTGAACCACACCCCAACTGTCATAATATACTAGCAACAAGCTCCCAATTTATTTTAAGCACAAACTAAATGAGAACTACCACTAGCAAGCAAATAATTTTTTTTCTTCTTCTAATACATATACAAACTCTTTTTTTTTTTCAAAGTTCTGATTTTTTTTTCTGAGCAAATTCAACTTTTTATTTAATTCCTTACAAGCGGCTCTCACAATTTTTCAAACATTGCACCTTTCTTCATTTTTTTCTGTGCCACTCAAAAACCCAAGCATACTTCCACTTAACTTTTAACAAGCTCATAATAATTTTAAGTGCTCAATAGAGTTATAACGTTCAAACAGACAATCAACTCAAACAAAAGGCCAGACTCGTAATGTGATTGCCAAAGAAATAGGATTATTGGCTCAACGGGGCTAGCTAAGATACATATAATTAGGTGAAAAATTAGGCATATATCTGGCTCAACAGAGAAATGCTTATATCACTTCCTAGACTGAACGAAATTGCTATTTCGCTTTGCAAACACACGAGAAAAGTTCTACACATCAACTGACATGCATAGAATATCAACAAAACTCTCACACACACATTGACACATAACTCACTTAGGACCGGATCTATCCCGACTTTCTACTCAAAGGAGTTAAGGAAAGTCGAGATCAAATAAATTGAAGTACTTATACACGAGTCAAGAACTGAGCTTAAGCGTCATACTAAGGCACTTACCACTCTCAAGGCACAACAAAGTCAAGAAAGATTGCATCCAACTAGAATAACAACAAAATTTAATTTACTCATACAAAAAAAGTTACTAACTACACCCGGTTGAAGTAAAACCTTTGAAAAAGAATTGCGACACAAAGAAAAACTAATGAAAAAATTATTACACTATCTAAAAAAAACTAAAAGACATCTTTTTGAATTTTTTGTTTTGGATTTTTGTTTGACTCTAACCCCTTAAGAAGACAATCGAGGAAATCCATTGTTGGGAAGAGTCTAATTTTTTTTTGATTTTTCTAATTGACGAAAAATACAAAAAATAAATATATACACATATTTACATCCCTCATCCCACATTTTAAATTATGGCATGTCCCTATGACATACAAGTAAAAAGTAATAGATAAAGAAAATTGCCCTGAATATTTTTTTTTTCGAGAACTTATGAATTTCACCCCTAATTTTGAATTCATTCCTCGTTTTTGTTCCTCGGAATTCTTCATAGATCTCATTAGGCCAAATTCATCTGAGGATATTTGTAACACCCGCTCTTTTCT